GTTGCAATATCACATAGTCAGAGTATTATCCTTGCCTACGCCCCGCGCCGCGGGTCGTCCTGCAGCATCTACTTCAAGCCGGCACGTACAGACTCAAAACATCACCATCACCAAAAGGCTGTTCATCGCGATCCGCGGCTGATCCAGCACAAGAGAATCAAGAGTCAAGATACCCCCCCCCCCCCAACCTCCAGATGTCGCCGCCCTGCGCCCTCCCCAAACTGGAAATGCTGTCACCACTAGCTATCTCACCCTCCTCCTTGCCTCCTCTCTGTCTCTCGTACTATCACACACCCTCCCTCTCCACCCAAGCACCACAACAACACGACCAAACACTACCCTTTAAAACATTGCAGGAGGACGAGTGCACCGCAACGCCTCTTCAGACTCCCCCACCCCCAACCACGGACTCCCCAAGAAGGACGCACACATCAGCACACATGCAGACACCGCGGACCAACCTGCAAGAACGTACTAAGACCCCCCCCCCCCTGATTACCATCTGCGCCTAGAAGATGGACAGGCCGAACCAACAGCTCACCGTAGCAAGGCAGGAGCCCCCGCTTTACCCCTTGAAGATAGACAAGTCGAGGCCGCTGCAAGGAAAGGCCATGCCGCATGACGCCGAAGAAAGCCGGAGGGGTGGTGGGCCGTGGCGCCGACACAAGATTCCTGCCACCCGGAAGACTCCGGGCTACGAAGACCGAACATGCGCCGCGGCTGCGCCGCGACGCTACTGACGCAGGTGGACGCTGGTCGCTGGTCGCAGGCAGCAGAACCCATCATACTCAACCGCGTTCAGATAGGGCTTGTGATTTCCCACCTCACGGCGGGGCAGCTTGGGGGCTGTCTCTCCATGGGCTGGGCATACAGGCAAGTAGCAGTGGCTCACCGTGAGCTGCTGTGAATACCTATAGGTCTTTCGGAGGCCTGGGTTACATGACCATGATCCTCGCGCTGCCCCCACCTCACTCACATGGCCCGCCCGTGGCCCGCCCGTGGCCCCACCTCCTCTCGCTGATCAGGTGCACTCGTGCGGCTTCTGGGCGGTAGGCGGCCCACGGGGCGGCCGGCACGCTCCACTCATCTTGCTCCCCGCCCCTGCCCGCGGCCCCCGCCGCCACGCCGCGCCACGCCCAATCCCGCGGCCCCCCGCCGGCGAGTGGTGGGGGCGGCGGCCAGCCGCGTCCATGCCTCGTCCGTCATGCGCGGCCGGCCACTTCGCGGGGAGGGGGTCGCAACCTGTACACACCGTTGGACACGATATATGTATCACAAAATTTTGTCACGAATCTTTGTGATGAAAATTTATAGCATCACTTTGGCGATGATTTTCTAGTTGAACTATCTCACATCCCTTCTGGCGTCAAACAGTGATCATGTGACGAATCATCACTGATAAACCAACTGACAACTGCAAAGTTGAATACTTCCAAGTACTCGACTTCTTACTCGTGCACTTGCAATTTCTCAACTCTAGCAGTTGCAACATTATTGTTGCACACTAGATTGGAGGCTTATACTATGTTGGATGTGTTAAATAGAGGAGTTGCACACTTACAAGTGCACAACAACAGAGTTTAAAATACTCAAGTGCACTACTACAATTTAAGTATTGCTATACCCAGATTATAGTCTTGACTTGACTAACCACGAGGCCTGGTTGGTTAAAAGAATAATTCAGCGCACATGTTATTTTTTGCGGTAAGCATATGCCCCCAACTATTCTGAAGAGTTTCATTTGGTTCAATCTGCCTTTCTACAACACATTTTATGAATATCCTGTTGTTTTAGAAACAGTCTTAATTAAAATTTGAGAAAATTATTATAGTCGGAACGTGTTTGCATTTTTTGCCAGTCGTTTCGGACGCCATAGGTGTCGCGCACTGCTACGGCCTCCCGGCCTCCCCCACGTGTGACCCCGCCGAGCTGCACGAAGCGCACCGGGGCGTGAGCGCCGGGCGCGCCCTTCGACAGTCGGAGCGGTGCGGAGCGGCGGGCCCTCTAAGGTTACCGAGGAGGAATGCCGCACCCCGCACAGCACCCCCCGGCACGTAGACGTCTTCTCCCAGAAAATTGGCCAAAAACGCATCTGCTGTCGAGCACATCATGACCGTCATCACCAGGACATCACCATCGCCATTACCATGTTTGCTCTGCCCCAAAAGCGCGGGCCGGGCAGGTGCCGCACCACGTTCGACACAAAGGAGTCCGTCATTATAATGCACTTTCCTCTCAGAAAGAAGCAATTTTTCGCTCGCAGAAGGAGAGAGATTATAATCGGTAGCAGCACTGCCGGGCCATTTCCGCGTTTAAACAAATTGTTGTTGTTGCGGCGATGTTCGCCGCTTCGGAGACGCCTTTCCAAACAGAGATGAGCTCATCGCTCAATTGCGTTCCCGGAAACAGGTGCGTTACGCGGAGGGCTGTGGGGAGCTCGCCATGAGCAGTCTATGACGGCCGAGACGGCTCGGTGCGCGCCGCCCCGAACCAGGCGACCATCTCACTTTTCCTCCCAACATTGTTCTTATTCCTAAGTGGCAATTTTCTGTCGCGTCCCTTTGACCTAACTAACCGCACAGGCCGCACACCGCGTGCGCACAAAACAAAGGGTTACAGGAAGGGGCGGGGCGAGGGGGCCGTGGAGCTGGGCGGGGCCCTTGTGACACGAGATACGCCTTTGTACTGCTAAACCGTTGTTTGCAGGAAATAAAGGAGACCTATATCCGCCCGTAATCCTTTCTTCTCTCTCTCTCTCTCTCTCTCTCTCTCCACGATACGGCGGCGGCATCCTTAGTCGCGCGTCACCTTTATTCGCAGAGCGGAAGCAGCAGACGACGTGCGGCGCCTATTCGCAGAAGCACACTGCTTGTCAATTCCATGCACCCCGCCGCGCCGCGGTTCGTTATCGCGTCCTCCTTATTCGCAGAGCAGCAGACGACAACGAGTCGGCATTATTCGCAGCCTCGATCGAACGCATAATGACATTGCGATAAGGAGAGGGTGGTTGGTTCACTCCTTTATTCATCAAAGGGTTCGTGCTCGGCCTTCCCTTTGAGGTCCCTCCGCCCCGCCCCGCCACGCCCCGCCCCGCCCCACCACGCCCCGCCACGCCACGTCGCGGCCACACCGCGCTCCTTGTGATATAGAATACACACGGCGAAGCGAAGGGGGAGAGGGGAGGGGTATGGCGGCGGCTTAGCGAAGCCGCGGGGGATACAGACCTGTTGTCTGTAAGCACGCATTTCGAATTGAATGGCTCTCAACCCCCGAGGGAAGGAGAGGAAGGAGAGAGAGGGAAAGAAAGAGAGAGGGAGCGAGACCAGGCAATTAGTACTGTAGTGCACTCTTTGATTGGTACAGTACGTCACACAAGAGCCTCCCCTTAGAGAGGAGGACCACCGGCGACGGAGAGAGGGACTGAAAAGCCCCCGCAGAGAAGAATCAGGGCGGGAAAAAGGACTGAGAGACGGCGCACACAATTTCCAATTTTTGGCACACTGGTATTTGCAATGACTTTCCAGTCGATTCACCCAAAACATCAAGCCTAAACCCTAATGTACTACGCATGTATTGAGCATAAGACTGGCAAATGAATGCAATGTTGTGCATAGCTATGGTTACTTACAATTGTGCAACATGCATTAAAACAGAACGCATGAGGGTTTTGTGAGTCCGCGACCCAAAGCCATCACATACAGTATCCACATTTCTCAGGACGGTCAAAGAAACTTCCCTGCTTCCCGTATCTTTTCTTTCTCTGGCAATGAAGTATATAGTGGATTTTTTTTTTAGCAATTTTTCTTCTTCTTCCGCATGATGCACGCAAGGAACGTGTGGAGCCCGCGATTCTCGCAGTCCAGTCAGCGGTCTGAGTGATAACCGGGTTGATACGAACTTCTAGCGTTATCGCTCGTGCTCCGCCGAGCACGCGCGCCGCCAGCCCGCTTCACTAGAAGAGGCCCAGCTACTTGCGCATGCAGCGCGATAGGGGCTGCGACTGAGGAGCCGACGCCACATCAGCCAACGGAGCAACTCCCTTATTGTAGATGGAAATGGAAGTTTGTTTCACTTTATGCATTTGTCCAGTCCAAATTCAAAAGGGCTAAAACAACACGGCTTGGGCTTTGAGGGAACAATGTTGCAATATTGCAATAATCGGCTATAATCATAATCCTTCTTTTTGAGTGCCTTATTTTCGAGCATTTTGCAAACCCCGCCGAATTCCGCGTCTCAGGTCGGTCCGAGGTTTGGTCGGGTTTGGTGCATAAAGGGGGGGGGCGATACACGCTAGGGTAGTCAGATGGGAGTAGAAAAAGCATTATAAAATACAGGTAAGGTCGCGGATTTCAACAAAGGAGTCGTGTACAACAGCAAAGAACAGCATCGAGGATGCGCCAGTTGGGTGCCCCTCTCTTTACCTAAAGTGAAAAAGTAAGGTACCAAAAACTGCAAAATAAAAAAATAAAAAATAATAATAATAAAAAAAAATAAAAAAAATTGGATGAACCAAATCTTTTAGATAGCCACCTCTGTCTCCGTTCCCACAGAGCCGGCGGAAGTTGCAACCTATTTACACGTGTCTATTTCCGCCTCTCCAGCTCCGCGCCTCCAGCTTGCCTCAAGCGCGAGTTATGAAAAACACAAAATACCTGTACGCATTACCATTTTGTTAGGCTGGCGACCTCAGTAGCACTACAGCAGTTGTGAGGCGAGCTGGCCCGTCGCGTGCAGCAGAGGAGAGAGGCACCTGTTGCACCCTGCGGCCCTGCGGCCCACCTCATGCCCTCGGCCATGCCAACCCTTGTTTTTGACCAAAAAAATCCCCTTCTCTAATTGGAAGCCTCCAGGAAGCCCCGGGATCTGCCCTGAGGGGAGTTGGGGGTTGTGGGCGCCTCATCCATGCTATACCCCCCCCCCCCCTTTTTCCCTTGTCGGCCACCGCTTTAAAGATGCGCAAAGGGTCGCGGCGTATTGTACGGTAATAAAGGAAACCGAAATTCTCACCATCCCGCAATATAAAACTGGGGAGGCAGAAGGGAAGGAGAGAGAAGGAGAGGGCAAGAGAAAAAATTGGTTTATATGATATGAAGGCCTTTTACGGTAGCCGCGCCGTGTCCCGGGCGGCAAGGTGCAAAGGCCCGGTACAAAGGCACAGCCGAAACGAAAAAGGCGACGGGGGAATTTCTCCAAGAGTCGCCATCGTGGCGTACTGCTTGTCATGCAGAAGGAACCGGCACTGCGCTCGCTGCTCTACGAAACACAAGCCTTTTACTTTCACCGGGCGCCGAATTATTATTTTATTTTTTTTACAGAATGTAAACAAAAACTACAAGATGTGGGATAGCGGGAGCGGTGAGCGGTGTTAGTGCGTGAGCGTGTGCGTATGTTTGTGCGTGAGAGAGAGACAGAGCAACCTCCAGGGCGTCGACCCGAGCGGGGGTGGCCCACCCGCCTCAATAACGCACAAACGTATTACTATTTGCTTTACGAGCCGCATTACATTATTTGCATACCCAAAGCGCATAATGTGACGACCGTCTAAACAAGACACACGTCGTTGGAGGCGCCTAATTCATAACAAGCCGGGGAGGCCCATAACCCTTTTGTTCGCCGTCCAAACGACGCGCGGATTTAATTGATATCATGAGAATCTCCTTACGTATGCAAATTCCAAATTGTTGTATTATTTTTCGCGTGAATACGTAATGAACAGCGCGCTCATCCTCTGCTTCTGCCAGATAATCAATCAGAGACGTTCGCGCGTGGCTGGCGCATCTCTCTCTCTCTCTCTCTCTCTCTCACACACACACACACACACCTGCACACACCGGACGACCCAGCTCAACCACCCCTATCGGAAATGAATGTTTTCAAAGGACGCCACAAAATCGGCATGCACAGAGCTAGGAATAAAATGGAAGTTTCGCCCATGTTGATAGAAACTGTTGACTCTCGTTTTTATTCGTACATATTACAATAAACGAACGAAGCTTCATTAATTACAATCTTACTGAAAAACTGCTTCTGGTTACAAAGTTTGAGAGTTTAAAATAAAATAATTTTAAACAGAAATACAAATTATTTTGTGTTTATTGAGACTTGATGTATGACTAAAGGCCTTCTTACACACATCACATGTGTATGGCTTTTCACCAGTGTGGGTCCTCATGTGCCTCACAAGATGGCTTTTCTCAACAAAACGCATTTTACACTCGTCACACTCGAAGGGCTTTTCACCAGTGTGTATCCTCACGTGCTTGACAAGGCTGCCACTCTCAGTAAAACGCATTTTACAAACATCACACTTGAAAGGCTTCTCACCAGTGTGTGTCCTCATGTGCCTCACAAGAGTGCCTTTCTCGGTAAAACACATTTTACATTCGTCACACTCGAAGGGCTTTTCACCAGTGTGTCGCATCACGTGCTTGGCAAGTGTGCCTTTCTCAGTAAAACGCATTTTACATACGTCACATTTGTATGGCCTTTCACCAGTGTGTGTCCTCATGTGAGCAACAAGAGTGCCTTTCTCGGTAAAACGCATTTTACAAACATCACACTTGAAAGGCTTTTCACCAGTGTGATACCTTTTATGCCGCTTAAGATGATCCGCTCGTGCGTAACTCTTCTCACAGACTTCGCATTTGAAGGCCCCTCCAGCGAGCCCGCGCCAGTTCACCCTGGTTGCGTCGCCGGGAGGAGACGCCACTTCTTCGGCGCGCTGCTCGGGCTGCACCTCGCCGTCGCCAGGGCCTCCACTGAGGTCATCCTCCGCGGGGCACTGCTCGTCCTGCAGCGAGAAGCACGCCGTCATCACCTGCCCTAGGTGCTCGTCCGCTTGTTTCAGCTCGTCGAGCTCGGGGCCCTTATCGATGGTGAGCTCACCAGGATCCCCCCGGAAGGACGCCCCGCTGAAGGAGCTGCGCTCGCCTCCTGCAACAAGAGCACCGCGTCAGACACCGCCGTCGTCGTCATATGAGGTCCGACCGAGTCCGCCCCACCACCAGGGACACCAGCATGCGCGTGCAAACGTCAGGGTCACCACTGCGACAACAGCAACTTGGCCTGCAACAGAAAAACGGTCACGTCAAAAAGGTCATTCACATAATCTAAAACAAAAGTAGATAGACTAAGATAGCCCTTAAATTGTTTATAAAAATTTCTAGTTTTAGTTGAGGCGATGACCCAATTCTTCAGTTGTAATCCAACAGGATTGACTCCGACGGTTCGTCCCCGGGCCGAGCTCGAGGGTGGTTTGGGATGGGCTCCTCGGTGATGCCATCATTGCAGTCCTGCGTGAGCAGAAAAAGCCAGTACCGAATAAAGGAAAATAGCATCCACTCAAAAATCGGATGTACATGTAATGTGTCTCTCACTGTCTAAAATTTGCAAATCACAAGTGTGCAACGTAAGTTAAAAGCCAAAAGCCATGTCAGTGCAAAATCATGATCTACACACGTAGGTGTGCGAATATTGCACAATTGTTTTACCAACTGTGCTTTCTTCTCGCAAAATAATTTTCCACGGATATTTCTTTATTTTCTCAGGCTTTGTTGTCTGAAAAGTGGTTTTCTTGTGGGTTTATTTACCGGTTAAATATTTAAGTTGCCGCTTCTCTAATGTAAGTACGCACACCTTAAAAAGTGCAGTCTTTGTTCTATTCTTTCATTCTATTAATTTTCGCGTGAATACGTAATGAGCAGCGCGCTCATCCTCTGCTTCTGCCGGATAATCAATCAGAGGCGTTCGTTCATTATTACGCGCGTGGCTGGCGCATCTCTCTCTCTCTCTCTCTCTCTCTCTCTCTCTCTCTCTCTCTCTCTCTCTCACTCACTCACTCACTCACACACACACACACCTCTGCACACAGTCGGTGCACCGGACGATCGCGGTTCGACGACTTTTTCGTCCCAATTACGCCCAATAAATACCACAATAACTCTCGGTGAAGGCATTTCATATATATGTATGCGCCTTTTATCATATTTTTTAATTAATTAAACATCCTACTCCGTTTCATTACGTCGCGTCCGAAACGAGCGGCCCAAAGCACGGCCGTCGTGTCCCCGGGCCAAACAGCAGACGACTCTCAGCGCCTTGTTGAAATGCATGGCCGGGTACGTTGCATGCGTGTGTGTGTGTGTGTGTGTGTGTGTGTGTGTGTGTGGAACACTTTCAGGAATTTGAAGCAGGCCGTGCGACGGCGGTGTGCCCTCAGGGGGCCGCCCCTTTCCCCCTCACCTCCTACAAGACGCAAGACGGGCATTGAGCAGCCACTGCGCGTAGCGGGCGGGGCGGGGCGAGTCGTCTGCTTGGCGCGCACGCACTGCAGCTCACTCTAGTTTGTATGTACTCGCCTACGAAATATGTCCGACGCTGTGACGCCGAGTCCATACGAAATATGGCGCGCCAGAGAACCAGGAGCCATGTGCCATGGGAGACTCTCCCCGGCCTCAGTACCTTTAGTCTCGTGACCCCACTCCACCTTATCCCCCCCCCCCACCCCATCTCAAGCCTCGCACAGAGATCGCAGAGATCAATGGCTATATATTCCCGTATCACATACAAACAAAGCAGACAGCGCTGGGATACTGCCCGGGGCTCCGGGAGGCAGAGAAGAGGAGGAAGTGGGGAAGGGAGAGAGAGAGAGCGACGAAGAAAGGAACATTACGGAGCAGTAAGGTGGCAGAGAGGATGTGATGGTCTCCCACCGCCCCGATGAGACTATACTTCCGAGGCGATCGGAAGCCCCGCGCACCTTGCGATGTCTCCCCCCCCC